GTATGTAGGAGAATGTCCTCATTCCTAGGAGATGCACACTTAAGTATTTAGGGATGACCTTACTTTCAAAGAGTTCAGGAGGACCAGGTACGGTGGCTCATGCTTGTAATCCCAGCAACTTGGGAGGCCGAGGTGGGAGGATCGCTTGAGTTCAAGACCAGCCTGGGCAACACAGTGAGACCCCATCTCTACAAAAAACAAAAAAAATTAGCCAGGCATGGTGGCATGTGTCTGTCCTCCTAGCTACTCTGGAGGCTGAGGCAGGAGGATCGCTTGAGCCCAGGAGTTTGAGGCTGCAGTGAGCTATAATCGTGCCATTGTACTCCAGCCTGGGCAACAAAGTGAGACCCTGTCTCAAAAAACAAAACAAAACAAAACAAACAAGCAAACAAAAAAACCCTAACAGTTCGGGGGGGGCCAATGTGTGTAAGAATACATTTATGGACGTGTATGCAATATGCATGCATATATATGTGTATGTATAGATATAGATGTGTGTGTATATGTGCGTGCTCGTGTGTGTCTCCCAGAGAGAGAAAAGGAGAGGAAGCAGTGTGGCAAGATGAAACGGAACAATTGTCACAGCTCAACGGTGGAAATACTGCTAATCGTTGAACTACTCTAACAACTTTCCTGGATATTTAAATTGTGTCATAATAAAAACTTGGAGCGAAAAGGAGAAATAATTTTTAAATGTGGAAGTCATCCTGTGAGCGATGAGCTGTCATTGCAGGGCTGTGAGTGACAGAGAATTGGCCTAGTGGCTCTTCATCTGAACCTGGGGTTTTCTTACCTGGGGCCCTTCCATGGGTGGGCTTGGGGCTCCCCGCTGGAGAGCCCCTGAGTCCCTGGGGACTTGGCAGGGCCCAAGCCCTCGCTGCTGGCTCGGCCTCTGCAGCAGCCGCCCTCCCCGTCGCCCCTTCCCCTGGCCTGCAAGGTGGGTAGGTCACACCTGCACCCAGCGGCCTCAGCTGCCCCAGTGCCCTCGGCCTTCCAGGAGCTGGAGGAGAGGCAGACATGGCATTCAAGGAGCCCCGGGTGTCCATGCAAGGCACAGGGGACCCACTTTCAAAGAAAGGAAAGGGGAGTTCCTCTGGGGGCTGAAGGTGGAGAATCACAGGCAATGCAGGGGGCAGCGCTGACGTTTTCTCTCCTCCTGTCGGGTGGCTTATGCTGGCCCTGTCCTTCTGTCCTCGCTGCAATGCACAGAAAAGCTCTCAGATCTAATCCTCTTTTCCCAACCTTCCTTCTATTGTTTAAATTAATTTTTGATTATTAAAAAATACATAAAGGCAGAGACAACCCAAATGTCCATCAACGGATGAATGGATAAAGAAAATGTGGTCTAGCCACACAATGGAATATTATTCAGCCTTCAAAACAAGGGCACCCTGACTCATGCTACAACTTGGTTGAACCTTGGAGGCATCACGCTAAGTGAAATAAGCCAGTCACAAAAGGACAAATACGGTGTGATTCCACTAATATGAGGTCCCTAGAGCAGTCATATTCAGAGACAGAGCAGAACAGTGGTTGCCAGGGGCTGGGGTTGGGGGGAAGGGGAAATGGAGAGTTATTGTTTACTGGGGACAGGGTTTCAGTTTGGGAAGATGAAGTTCTGGAAGTGGAATGTGGTTCTGGTTGCGCAAGAATGTGGACGTACTTAATGCCGCAGAACTGCCCGCTTAAAAATAGATAAAATGGTAAATTTTTTGTTACGTATATTTTACCG